ACATCCAAAAAACCCAAAACTCCAAAAGGATCAGCCCCACCTCACACCCCTGCACATGTATTAGACCCCACACCTGTACCACTGAGATGAAGTTACACTGTCACCTGAGTTCTGTATTAGTTGGAATTGATCCAAGACCTTAACATTCACTTGCTGTCTTTATTTCTGCTTATATAAAGTATTTAACTCTTCTTGAGGTGGTTTTGGTGTGAAAGGAGAATAAATGTCCCATGTAAAAATGTGTCTTTAGTGGCAGGAGAGTGCATGTGATTATTTTGAGTTGAGGCTGCATGGTTCTCCTCTGTGCGTTTTTTTGTAGTGAAGGTTTTATTTAACTGTACAGATAATAAAGAAATCAAGTCCTGTGCACCTGGGAGGTGGAAGTGAGGGTGAATTGCTTGAGTGGTTGGTACAAGTATTCACCTGTTCTGTCCTTTCTGTTTCAGGATCAGTACATCTTCTGCTATCAAGTCGTCCTTTATGTCCTGAATCATCTCCAACATCAAGAACAACAGAGAGGCAAATGAAATACAGAAGCACAAGTGCTTTTCAAATACAGAAGCAAGGAGGGCTGGAAGCTCTGACATGTTTTCTTTGCTCTGCCAATAATTTTCCAGTCCCTTTCTTCAGTTGCTGTCAAATGTCTTTTCTATAAAGTCTCTCCATCATTCCAAAAAAGATATATAGCTATAAGAAAAAAGGGATAGTTTATGCAATACCACTAATCTCTTCAGCCCCATGGACACGTGAGATTTTTGTATAACAGTAAATAATATTTAATAAAGCTGCATTTTTTGCAGTTTCCTTAGTATGTGACAAAATACTGAAATAAAAATATTTTAATTTAAACAAACAAAAAAAAGGTAAAGAAGAAGAAGAAAAAAGGAATCTTATAATACTTCCTGCAGTTCTGCAACTGTTTCGGGGTATTTGTTTTTTATTGTGTGGGGAGTGGGATGGATAAGCAGTATTTTTATCCTGGAAAACTTTATTACAAACACATTTTACTAGTCTCTTAAAAGCTTGTTTATGGCACAGAATTTTTGCTCTTTTAGTACAATTACATCTATTTTATAGAGGGTATCTTGAAATCAGCATTTAAGCTTTGAGATGCCTATTAGCAAAAGGATAGTAGTGAATGCTTACTGTAAGTATCACAGTTAATGTTTACTTCATACTTCATGTATATATTTATATACTTTTACCAAAAAAAAAGCTGAATTTTATCAGATGTCTAACCTTAAAACTGATTAGGCATCTCCTCTCTGTAAATAATAAATATACTTACAGTACACTGATCAGTGGGTCTGGGTATTTTTGTGTCCTTGTGACTGATTTTTCTTGGCCTTGCATGGCATCCTTCATTGCAGCTGCTGCACTTGAGCAATCTGCTGTCCATATTTTAAATGTCTAGTGTCCTGTTCTTCAGTGTACATTTGAAAAAAAAACAAAACACAACAAACCTGCAGAAAGGTGAGTTCCTTTCTGGAGAGTTTCCACACTATGGTGAAAAGAAGAGGATATTTTCCCTTCCTCTTGGTTTTCCAGCATACCTGGGCATTGAGACCGGTATCACATTTTTGGGGGGAGTTTCTTTGCACTTGGATGCTCTGGCAGTGAGCTGACAACAATGTCATCTACCTTGTTTAAAGCAACTGGGTTTCAGGTGGGAGGCAGGATATTGGATTCTAAGTAGCTCCATGTTTTAGTGGTATGTTAACAGTCCAAACTGTTCTGAAAGGAAATCTTCATCTTATCCTGCCTGAGAACCTTAGATGATCAATAATGGCCATCAGCCAGCACAGGGGACCATTTGAGGGTCTGAGCAGTATTCCTGCCCCAGCAGTCCTTACCAGAACTGAAACTTGTGACTTGTGCTGTAAAAGTGCACTGATTTGACTGATAATAGCGGAATTAATTTCAGAGACCTGTGATTATCCACAGTTTTCACTCTCCAGAATAGTAGCCCACAGTGTTCTGGTGTCCCAAAACTGAGAGAGTCACTGTTTTGCTTATTTACTGGCATTACAGCTAGCAAGAGCATGACTTAGAAAAGGACAACAGCCTTTTTACTTGTCACAGCACTACTTGATACTTATTCCCACCAGTATACCAACACAGTTGAAAAATTGTCTTTTTCAGAGCAGTGTAGTTCCAGGAAGGAGAATTAATTCTGTGTAGGTAGCAGCAGAAGCAAATTGACTAGCCATGTGTCACAATCCGGTATTCGGGTATGTGGCAATTGTAATAAATAAAGGTGATCCCAAATGGTGAAATTAAGACACAAACGAGGTGAGATGTCACGCACACAACAAACTTTTATTGCAATAACACAACAAAAGTCCCTAGAGCGGATAGGACAGGCAGGAAAACAGAGACAGGAAAGAGAGGAGAAAGCAGAGAGATAGAGGACAGAAAGCGAGAGCAGAGTTACCACCCAGGGTCCAGCGATGTCGTCGATGTCGTTGGCGGGGAAGTAGTTCCAGGTGAAGTGCTTCCAGGCACCCACAGAGTCACAGATTTTTATACAGTCCTTGCCCACTGCACCCCCACTTCTCTCCCTGCATAGGGAAAAACCCTTTGGATCTTCTCTGTGATAGCAGGGGCAGGTATGATGCCAGGGGCTATGTAGTCTTTGGCCATTACAAAGGAGGAGGTTGAGTCAATTGCCACCACAGGATTAGTTCCTTGCTGTGGAGTTTCGGTCCTAGGAAGTGGCTTGAGACTGGCACTCCTTGTCTTGTCCTGCAAAGTCTGAGGTTTCCATATTGAGGCCTGGTTATCACTGGATATTCTGCTCCCAGTGCCAGCTGTAGAACTGCTTTGTCTCCAGTCTCAGCATGTCCCACACACTAAACTCCCCAGTTCTCAGGTACTGCTTGCAGGAGGGGGTTAGGTGGGTTGCTGAGACATCTCTTTAGTTCATCAGCAGATGTTGTTCAACTCTCAGATGCCACAAGACAGGCAAAAGATATCCTGAGTGCCAAAGTCCAAGCTTATCTCTTGGATTGTTCGAGACAAGCACTGTACATCCTGAATGCCACACCATGTTAACAGGACACCTGATGAAGGAGCTTTAAGGCGAAGACTGAAGGTTTTCAGGACTACAGTTGTTAACAGGTAAAATACAGCTGGTTGATACACTGCTGCTACTTTTAGAACATAACTGGTGAGTTCAGAGCCTTTGTGTATGTCTGGGTTTTTGCAAACAAAATATTGGTTATGGTAACTAGATAAGTATGGTTAAGGCAGTTGAATTCTTCCTTCAGATGTTTTCAGGTACATGCCAAATGATGTAGAAACAGGAACTGATTTTTATACAGTATGTTACATGAAACCCACTTTGGTATTGGGCAAACAACTTGCCTCAGATAACTGCTTATGGGAAACACAGACTAGTACAAGATTCCAGGACCTGGTGCTTGTCCTCACAAACATGAAGATCTATGGTATAGTAGTGTGTTATACCCAATTTCCTTATAATGATGGGCACATAGAAGAGCAGAGGATAATTAATTTCACTTAACCCCAGCACCCACAGAAAAAGAAATGCACACTCCCACCCAATGATCTTTTCAGTTCCTCACCCTTGGAAAGTGAGCGCATGATTAGTGAATAAACAGACCTGTTCATTCACTCTGTTCATGTTTAGGTATTGAATTGGATCCCAGACTCAGAAGTACAGCTTGGAAACCTAGTTATTCCTATTTTGACTCTTTTAAGAAACTAGGGATCTTGTGGAGCAAAGTGTCCTTGTCTGAACAAAAAAGCATAAATGTGGCCTTTCTACATCTCCCTTCAATGTGTTTGATCCAGCTCTTTCCATCAGAAATCATCCTCCTAGTACCAACAGTTCGTGTCTGAAAACAAGATCATGCAGGAGTAATACGGAGTTCCTACACTAAAGTTTTATTGGCCAAATTCCTCATTAGCCTGACTTTTTGATCAAACAGATCAGCTCCAGTGGGAAGCCTTCCTAAGAAGTCATGCATGTATGGTGAAAGGTGGCACTGGCCTCTTTTGAGAAGTGGCCTGAATTTCTTTGGGCTTGTCATCTCAACCTAGAGGAATTGGATGTTTAGTAAAGATGGAGTGCTCCCTAGTCTAATGCTTGTTGCTCAGCTAAGCCACTGGAAATTGCCATCCGTGACACTTGGCAGGGTCAGTTGAGTGGAAGTAGACACCAGAGCTCACTACAAAAAAATGGACCACTGCAGTGTGATTTCTTAAGCTTAGTTTCTGTGGGGAGCCTGGTTGGAAATAGGCAACAATATTCATATTTTTCTCCATAGGATTAGGCTACCCAATTTCTTTATGGCCCTTTGAAAAAAGTGAGAGGAAGAATGACTGAGAAGCTAGTTCCTTGACTGGAAAAAATGATGTGCTTTCTTAGTATGCTGACTATATAATATTCAGGAGGAAAAAAAGAGGCTTCTCTCTCCCCCTGCCTTCTCTACCCACACTTCTCTCTCCTCTCGCCCTGCCTTCTCTCTCTCGTCTCTCTCCACCTTCTTCCTTCTCTCTTCTCTCTGCCTTCTCACTCCTCTCTCTCCTCTCTCCCTGTCTTCTCTCCCCTCTCATCTCCCTGTCCTCATCTCTCTCCCTCCCCTCACTGGTCTCTCCCTCCCCTCACTGGTCTCTCACTGGTCTCTCTCTCCATCACTGGTCTCTCTCTCCCTCACTTGTCTCTCCCTGATCTCTCCCTCCTCTCAAGAGTGACTGGGAATTTGGCGGTGATTTCGGGCATGCTTATCATGTGTCCAGTGTTTTGCAGGAGGATCCTGAAAGGTGGCAGGAAAATACTTTAGTATCTGTTTTAAGTAGATGGAAGCAGGCTTGTAAGGGGAGTGTGGGCTTGTGTTGCTGTTAAAACACTTGTCTGCCATCTTCTGATGGCGCAGGCCCAAATGGGGGCCTGGTCTCTTGGGTCTTCTGGTGCTTCTGAAGCTGCGACAAGTCTGGGCTGTATGATGAGGTTCAGCTTTGGAGAGCAGTGAAAGATGATGTGGGTGCAATGGTGGGAGCTGGACAGCTCTTTCCGTGAGGTGAACAACGTTGCAGTGAAGGTGTTCTGTAGTGTCTGCGTGAGTGGCAGGTGCCAGAGAAATACCCACCCCTGCAAACCTCTGGAATGAAGGTACAAGATTGTGGTTGGGATAAGTAGTGTGGATGATTGACAACATAGAAGAAAATTTCAGTGTAAGCTTTGACAGATCAGAAATAGCTGACTTCCAGGTGGTAAAATGCTTACAAATTGCATCTGACTTCCTCCATGTTAAAACAAAACCCAAACATATAACCATCTGCTGTTCCACTGGGATATCAGAGCAGCTTGGCCCCTTCTGTATGCCAGTAACTCCCTGTTCTATGTCTTCTCAGTATTTCTCCCATAAGTGAACGTGCTTTTTAATATACATGTTGTCTGTGATGTCCTTTCTGTAGGACCCAGGAGTACAGAAACCTATGAGCTGAGGGACAAACGTTGTTCATGGAGTGGAAGGCACTTTGCTAACATTCAAGAATGAGCCATCATCAGGAGGGAAGTTGGCATTTATGTCATCCACAGATGGTCAAGTCAGAACAAAGGGAGGGTCAAACATCAGGTAGTTTGTGGCTGTTAGCACAGCTCTCTGTTTTGTGCTGCCTTCCTAGTGCAGGTGATCTTGGTAGCTGGACAGACAGGTCAACTCAGGGAAACGTTACTCATCATTTAAGCAGCTCTGACAGGCCAGTGTAACAAGAGCTCTGAATATTCAAGGCACAGTGAGTTCTGTGGTGTTTCTGTGGTAGTATCACTTCATTTTACCTGTCGTGCAAGTGTGTCCGATGTAATCCAGATATTATTTTCACATAAAGTAGGGAAAATGTGTATGTACCTGTTGATTGAAGGGGAAAAGAAATGCACTAAAGAAAAAACCAACACATAGCAGTGAAACAAATAGTGGCTTGATACACAGCTGTACACATTCTCACTGCTGAATTTAGTCTCTTTTTGTCTAGATGTGAAATAGCAAATCAATATATTCCCCTCTGTAATGTTTCAAAATCAAAGTTGATAGAAGGCAAAAGAAAGCAAATAAGCCCAGCAATAATGGAAAGAGGTCTGCATTCCTCAGAGGGAAAGTCAGAGATGCTGTCAAATAAGAGCCGGTAGAAATAAATGTGCCTTTGATTTGTTGATGCTCTCTTGGAATCATGTGTGAGTCCTCTCTAAGAATCCCAGTGCTGAAGTGGTGCAGAGCTCAAAGAGGGCCTGGCACCTGGTCATCTACAGCAGCATGGCAGGAATATGCTTTCAACACAGCTGCTGGCTTAGCAGTGGAATTAAGGGACTAGTTCCAGAGGCTTATGAAACTCTTCCAGACTCAGCCCCCATCCTGTAACCCCATTTGCTAATACAGGGAACAGGTGTTGGGATCTTCAGTGTGTGTTCTCAGGGTTGACTCCTGTCTCCCACTCACTTTCACTGACCTGAGGCACCTGTCTCCTTTTTGAGGACAGGAACTTGGGATTCCTGATGACTGAGAAACAACATGGGTTTCATCATGTGTCCTGGTGTCTGTGCTCACATTAAAGTCACTGAAGGCCACATCAGTGAAGTGACAGAAAATTGAGACTACTGTTAAGGCTCTACAGTAAGAACTTGTAGGTTGAGAAATCGTGCAGTTGATTCAGAGGATACAGAATTGAATGTTTGGGTTTTGTTCTTCAGTTCTACTTTTTACATATGTTTAATTTCCCTTTGTTCTTGGTGGACGTAGGTGTTGAGAGGTTGGGGGTTTTTTTAGTGTTCATCTTCCATCTGTTGAAGCCTATTTTAGCACACAGGAGGCTAGCTTCCTGGCAGTACCAAGCCAAAAATTCCCTCTCCATGATTCTGACACTCAAAGAGTGTGAAGGGTCAGCAGGGATCGTGAGCAAGAAGCTGCCATCATTGGTCTTAGTAGTTCTTGTCTTAGTACTATTGCTGTTTTTCTGCCTGGACAAGGGGAAAATAATCTCCCTGCCTTATTCCTGTTCTGTTTTTGGTGTATTATTTATTTGTTAGGCTACTTGGATTCTCTATGATGTGTTCGGATGCTTCTCAACACTTTTGAGTCACAGTCTCTTAGTAACTAGTGATTAATATAAAAGCAGTACATACGAACAATGTGCTGCTCTGAATGTCCTGTTCCTTGCTTAAATTGTGTTGCATGGTCTGCACCTAATGAAATTAACTTCTGTAGATGTGGCAAAAACTGAAGTAAACTGCCTTTTTTCCTTAGTGCCCACCTACAAAATTAGTTCATTTTAGTTCTGAAGACCCAGTCCGTCTGCTATCCTACTTAGCTCTTCTTTTTTTTTTTAAATACCTGATTCTGAACACACCATCAGGAGAAGTAAATTCCATGAAAGACACCAGGAAAGAGTTTCCTGGCATTGGCATCTATAAAGCATTTTGAGAAATGTTTGTAAATGGGAAAAATGGTTCAGATTACTTTTTTTGCATTTTCCAAGTAATGATCTGTTTTTCCTAGATCAGGTTGCTCAGACCCCCCATCCAACCTGCCCTTCAACACTTCCAGGGATGGGGCTTCCACAGCTTTCCTGGGCAACCTGTGCCAGTTTCTCACCACCCTCATACTGAAGAATGAATCCATACGGATCATGCAGATCGGAACTGGAGATACGTTAGGGGGATATCTTGAAGTCATTGCATGGAGTCTTTGCTGACCCACACAGCTAGGAAAAATTAGATTTTTACTTTGAATATACTTGGTATCTTCGATATATGGTCTATAAATATATATAAATATGTATTTCCTTGAAATACTGAGCTGAGTGCAGGTAGTAAGTTAAGCAGTCCGATTCAGTTAAAAGATGAAAAGAAATCTCCAGATCACCAACACGGTGTTTATTTGGGCACATTAAACCTGCCTCTTGACACCCGGTGGGTTTTCCATGAAGACTATTAAACAAGAGGCAAACAGTTCATAGCCTTGGTGTTGCTAGGGGAGGAAAAGCAGCACGAGAGACAGAAGCATTACTTCCCCCTGCTGGCTTTTCGTGTAAGAGCAAGTTTTGGTTTAGAAAACAAAGAAAATAACACACTGCGACTTTGTAGGTAGAACTGACAAGGTATAGTGCAGACTTCTTACTGGTGCAGAAACCACCTTGTTTCTCTTCGGTCATTGCTTAGGACTGTGTGCAGGGGAGAGGCTGTGCAGTGACTGGTGATAACTGGAAAATGGCAAGCTTGTTTGCAAGAATATTTGTGAATAAGTGTGGATTTTAAATTTCTTTTTCTTTCTTTTTTTTTTTCTTTTTTTAAATACTGCAAGGGCAAAAGGGAAGTCATCTTAAGTCACCTTGTAACTCCAGCACTAAACATGGGAAAATGGGACACAGGTGTTTATGTCCTTGAAAACAAAATTGTACTTTTGAAGCTGAGGAAGTAGAAAATTTTATAACAAAAATTAAGAAAAGAAGTGAGATAATATTAAACCTTTTACTTCCCGTGATTGTTGAAGTTCAGGCTGGGAAACTGGGCTAGGTGGCAAGAGGCTGGGCAATAGCTATCGTGTCTCAGGTCAGTACAGGCAGCAAGAATGTCCCTTAGGCTTTCAAGCTGGAAAGGATCACTCAGTTTTGCTTCTGAATTCAGAGCTGTCTCTTGTAGGAAATGGCACACTGAAAATAAACTGCTCCATAATCAACTGCAGGTTAAACTGTGCACTGAAATGAAATCATTGAGGCAAAGTGTGCTTCGGTTGAAGAATCTAATGACTGATGTCTCTTTCAGAATAATGCAAAGGGACATCAAGTTGTGTGTGAGGAGATTGAAAATGAGACAACTGAGCTCATTTTGTGAGCCAGACATCTTACACCAATGTGCCATGGAAAAAGCTGGAAGTGTGACAACTCATGAGCCAGCAATGGGCGCAAGGTGTGCAGGAGCCTTTTCTCACATTAAGTCTTCCATGAAGTAGCTGTACTTGAAGGAAATAAAACAAATCTGTGAATCATCAAAACCTGCTCAAAGTTAGTTTGCTGTGGTGTTTCACTGGCTACAGAATTCCAATGTTGCTTTGTTTTTCTTACTGCATTAACAAAGAATTTCTATATTACGTTCTTGTTGCAAAGGTTGCAGTAGTTAGCCTGTCTAGCTCAGCAATGCAGCATCCTTGCATTTCTGTCAGTGTGTGGGCCCACACAAAATATGCAAAGTGGCATAATTTAATTTATTGCCACCTTCTGAGACTGCAGCCTTTGGAAAAAGAAGTTGCATGTCTAGTCCTGGTACTTAAGAGTTCCTTAAATAGGTTTTTATCAGCTTCTGGTCAGCGGGTTGAGAGGTTCTGTCTTACAGGTCTGTGCTGTTTTACTGCCTTAGTGACATGCCTTTGTCCTGATGTTCAGAAGTGCTTAGTTTCCTCCAGCTTCTGCTGGGTGTGTGGACTGGGACAGCCTTGCCAACTTGTCCCTGGGTCGTTGGTCCCACGGAGTGGCCCCGCACAGCTTGGTGCTGCCCCAGCAGTACCTTTATCTGGGCACATGGGGACATAATGCCAGTTCCTTCAGGCAGAGCTAGAAGGTATTCATGGCAGTATGTCACTTATTAGTTCTTCTCCCTAGAAGAACTCCCTGCCTGGAAAGCCCATTTCTGCATCAGAGAATAGAGACTCCAAGCAAATTGTCTGCCTCTCTAAAAGGAGGGGAAAATGGGCAGGCACTTCATTCTCATCCCCCTTACATCAGTGTACATCAACAGGAATCCAGAAGACAGCTGTGCAGCCAGGGCAGCACCTGCAAGTTTTAAGTCAGGCACTCCATGTTTGATCGTGGACAATCTGGCATGAACCTGCAGGAAGGACCATCCACGGCTGTCCTTGGCTTGTATTAGCACAGGATTCGTTCCTGTGGGTAGTATAGTGGGTATGACACCAAAGCAACTGCTGCCACCTGCAGGGTCGAAGGCTAGCAAGATGAAGGAACTTGGGCTTCTCGGTTTCCATTCTTGTAGAGAATACTGAAAGGGAAGACATTTGATGTCCTGGGAAGAAGTGGGAAGGATCAGCTGACTGGGAAATACGAGGACATGCAGAGGGTTGAATACCTTATTGTGCCATGTGAAGCTCTTTTATCAGTACACCCTTTAAAAGTCATGTCATCATCCACCTGCCTGTCAGAATCATCTTGCTTACTTGAAAATTAAGGCCCCCCCAAAAAATCTTCAGTGCTGGGTTTGGAGTATTTGCCTACTGCAACTTCGGGTTGCATTTCTTAGAAATTTGGTAAGACATAAGATTGTGACCTGTCCCTAGAACAGTTCCCCATTAAATTCTGTGAGATTTCAGAAGCTGTAAACATAACATCCACAAATCCAGTTTTATCCATCCTCTTGAATACTCCTTTTATAGGCAGCTTGGGAATTGCTTAGCTTTTGCAGTACCATCCCTTATTTGTCATTCACAGAAAATAGAGACAGTATCTTTGACCTGGATCTCTGTGCTTACAATACAGAGGATAAGGGACACTGAACCCATCGGCTTTTGCTGCTCTTCTGGCAGTCCTGGATTTCTCTTAGTTTCTTTTTAAGGGACAAAAATGCTCCTGCAGCTTCAGCTCCAGGTCCTCGCTACCTTGCTCTGAAAGATGCATGCTGTGAATAATTTTCTCTGCAAGAATTCACCTCATCATGCAAATTGCAAGTAAGGTCATTTTAACAGACTTTTAAAAATAATCATAGAATCACAGAGTGTTTTGGGTTGAAAGGGACCTCGAAGAACACCTAGATCCAACCCCCCTGCATGGGCCAGGACACCTCCCATTAGACCAGGTGGCCCCATCCAGCCCAGCCTTGAACATCTCAGATATCCACAGCTTCCCTGGGCAACTTGTTCCAGTGTCTCACCACCCTCACACTAAAGAATTTACTCCTTGTGTCTAACCTAAATCTCCCTTCTCCCAGTTTATTATTATTAATTATCATTTAACAGCCTGAAATGTGTCAAATTAATCTCCAGTGGAGAGGGTGAGGTTCCAGGAGACCTTGCTTCTAATTCAGCTTTAAACATAAGTCTCTCAAAGGAGCAGGATAGCCTTGTAATCCCTCTTGAGTGCTCTGCAATCTTGAGTGCTGTAATCTTCAGTCTCTGCCATGTAGTGAGTAGCCTGGTCATGTCCAATTTCTATGTTGTGTGCATGATACTTCTCTGTTAGAGGAAGGGTAGACAAAAAAAAGATTTCCAGGGGTGTAACTTTTGGCAGCAAGAACAGATCTCCACCATAACACTGCCCCTGCAGCTTGGGTTGCCAGCTTGGAAGTGCCTTCCCCTGTGGAGTTGCCCGGTGTGATCAAGGTCAGCCAAGTTCAACACGCCCACTGGAGAAGTGTGTCAAATAAGAGACCAAGGGCTGGCACATGGTTAGGAAGTAAGCCTGTCACTGGGGCATTTAGTGATTCTAAAAATACCTTCTTGAGGGATTTCTTGAAGTTTCCTGTGAATCAGTTGCCTCCAGCAAGCAATTGAGACAAGATCAGAGAGGGAGAACTGGCACGAGCTGATGCAGCAGTGGCAGTGTTTGAGGTGCAGCAAAACAGCATCACACACACCAGTCACCATATTGCTGTAAAGCAGGAAGGCCTTTCAAAGTGTTGTGTTGTGGACAGCATCAGTCCTTTTCTCCTCCTTACCTCAAGCCTGAGAGTTAGGACAATTGTGTTCCCAAAATTATGGACCTGTCCAACAGTCCTGTTAGGCAATCTGCTAACACTTCAAATTTGACCTTAAAATGAAGAAAGGAGAGAGTCTTGTACCATCAATATTTGAATAAATTTGGAAACAGCAGCTTTGAGACAGTGATTAGCACTAAATTCACATTTTTACTCCACTGAGTCTGAATTTAGATTTGGAATGTCCTAGATACATAGATGTTACTAGATGGCTTATTTTCCTGCTCTTCCATACATTCCAAACTATTAACTGCTACTAAACTACTTGTTTTTGCTAGGAAATAATTTTTGCTGAAGAAATATATCTCTGCTGAAAAAAAAGTTCTATTAGGTGGTGTCTTCCTGACTGTAAGACCTTATGGTGGTGTTTAGCTATTTTATTTCCTGAAAGTTGCTGTTTGCTTGTAAATACTTCACTGTAGGAGCCAAGTGCTAGGTGTTGTTTAATACCCTCACCTAGTGTTTTCCAGCCTGAAGCAGGTTTCTTGCAGGCTCTGGGATGAGATAACTTTCACACACTGGTTAGTTAATGGCTTAACTTGTTCAATAAATTGAGAGGGCCTGCAGGAAGCTGTGTGAAGCAGAGAGTGTGTGGAAATGTTTTCTTTGCTGAAGTTTCTCTCCTGTGTGCAGCAAGTGTATACATGTGAAGCTCTATCTGCAGGAACTGGCACAGCTTTTGTGAACATCTCTCAGCCTCCATATCTCTGTGGCTGTGTCAACACTGAGGGAGTTCTCTCGTAGTCCAATGTGACTTATGACAGTGAAAATTGTAGAATCACAGAATGGTTTGGGTTGGAAGGGACCTTAAAGATCATCCAGTTCCAACCCCCTGCATGGGCAGGGACACCTCCCACCAGACCAGGTTGCTCCAAGCCCCATCCAACCTGCCCTTCAACACTGCCAGGGATGGGGCAGCCACAGCTTCCCTGGGCAACCTGGGCCAGGCTCTCACCACCCTCACACTAAGGAATTTCTTCCTAATGTCTCACCTAAGTCTCCCTGCTTCCAGTTTTGATCCATTCCCCCTTGTCCTCTCACTCCCTGCCCTTGTAAACAATCCCTCCCCAGCTTTCCTGTAGGCTTCTTAAGAAAAAAATAAAAAGGAGGATAGAGATGTGTATGGCCGTGTGGCTTCTCAGCCAGCTCTCCCAGTGTTTCTGTTGTCACTGCTTTGATTCCTACACTTAGGAACTCCTTAGGAACGCAGGACAGATTTGAAGATCCTCTGCATTGGCTCCTGAGCATTGGGCAGAAACACAAGACAAAAACGTACAAGCCTTGCACACATACTTGTGTGATGACAGGAAAGTACATCTCTGATAAAGTGACTTGATTTTGCTCTTGTCTTGCCGCAGGGCACCTGGTGAAATTAGGGGGAGGGGTTGTTTTTTTAGTGTAAAAGCCGGGACATTTATTTCGGTGCAGGAATGAGGATTTAACCTCTGCTCTTCCCCTAGCTTCTGCGTCGTCCTTCACATCCCTTCTTCCAGCCTGGCGCCAACAGCGACCGCACCGCGGTGTGCGGGGAGAGCGCCCAGAAACCCGCGGCGGGGCAGGGCGGGGCCGGGACGCTCCGCGGGGCTTTGCGGCTCTTCCTGGGCTGCGGAGGCTCCGGGGCAGCAGGTCGGGAGGCGGGAGCTGAGGTGAGCTGAGCTGGGCTGGGCTGGATGGGCAGCCTCCCGTGCCGGCCCCGCTGCTCCCGGGGCTGAACGAGCGGTCGGTGCTGGCGGGACTCGCGGCTTCCCCCGCCCGGCAGCAGGCGGTGCCTCCCCGCCCTGGCG